GGCCTGCCCAGCCCCCCTCCCGCCATCGCACCCCCGTCCCAGCCGCAGGAATTCTTGCCGCCCCGGGCGGCGCAAGGACGCGGCAGCTTCTACACCCCGGGCTGAGGGAACGGAGCCACCTCACTCCCCCGTCGTGGATTTTCGGGCTCTGCTGCTAGACCTTCCCACCTTGCACAGCTCCTCGCTCGCTTTCCAGATGCTGCTTAACAGCAGGCAGGAAGACGTGGAGAATTCCTTGTTAAAGCCAGCTTTCCAGGGCACTGACAGTTCCCTGAAGCACCGATATATGCTCCCCCCTGCTCTTTTAGGGATAGGTTAAGGGATGAGAACTCATGTTGCATGAGAGGACATGAGAAGCAGAAATAGTTGCTTGGAACCAGCTTTTGTCAAGTACAGCAATTAATTTCATTAATACCTCAACTCCATGGCTAGCTGTGTGCCTAACCATCCACTGGCCTAGACTCACCCGCTTGTAGCCCTTCAAAATTCCGTCAATCAGCCATAAACTTTGTGTTCCGTATTCCCAGAACCAAAGAAAGTATTTCTGTTTACAAAATAACAGTTTAAATACTTCCAAAGGGGTATCTTCGAGAGAGAGAAGAAAGCTATTGCCTCCACACACATTTCACACTAGAGCTTCTGGCCAAAAAGACATCCATTGGGTGAAAAATCTATTCTTTTCAGCTGGCAGTGGCACTGCAGACAAACAGTAGACAGGGAGCCTTGTATTCTTGGGCTGCTCAGATGACTTTTTGCTAAACCATGTTACAACATCAGGAACAGGTGACAAAACTCAGTAAAAGGGTCTGGAAAGAGAATGTATTTACCATTTGAAGTATCAACACCACCGAGCGGTGGGAACCAGATCCGTAATAAGGAAAAGGATGGGGCAGTTGTTTGCTTTGACTGCAGCCTGTGCCAGCTGCCCGACTGGTGTTGATAGTGCAGAGGAAAGATTAAGCTTGTTGTGTAAATCTGTAGCTGGAATGTACAAGTACTCGGTGTGACAAACACAACTATGCCACGGAACCAAAATAAACACGAGAGGAAGAAGTGAAAAATGCCAAATATGCTGCAGAAAAGGCATGCCTGCAGCGTCAGCAGAGACACAAGAGATACAGAGATTTAGTACTGGCACAGCTCAACCGGTCAGCAACTCAGGAGGTGCTTTGGGACACCTCCTTTGCGCCAAGCACAAAGCAGCATAAAATGAAATGCCTCTTTATGGGGTAAAAGAGGAACAGATCTTTTGGAAAAAGCAGCTTTGACGTTAAAAGACCACGGCAGAGCAAGACGAAGCACACAAAGTGTCACAAAGGCTGCACAGGAGGTGTGAGTGGGGTAAGAATTAACTTTCACCATTTGGGTGTCAGATAACAGAAAAAACAATTGTGTTTAATCTCAGTTATAAAAAAAAAGTCCTTGCCACACAGACACGCAGGGTTAATGATGTTGACAAATCCTTTCTTGTCGCCACTCAGATCCTTGGCTCTACTTTGGCTGTGTACTGAGCTTCAACATTTCATGGGCAATGCATTTCACTCGGATTTGCGTGCTCGTGCATTACCTAGCTCACTGTCTCTGGGAATGAGCTAGCTATCAAACAACTGTAAGTAAAAACATTCCTGAGTTTCTGTACACTGTCACTTTTTCTTAATAACGACCCACTAAATCTTAAAGCCTTTTTCATCCAAACGCTGTCGCTTCTTTTCAAAATGATGTATTTCCAGCCTTCTACGAGGCAGCGATCTCCAACAACGTCATTCTTGCTGAGTCCCAACTCTTACCCTCCCGTGGAAGAGATGTTTTCCTTCCACAGGAACAAACCCACCTCTCCTTGGTTCGCTTTGGCAGAGACAAATGGAGACTGCCTTAGGGTGGCAGTCCAGCATATTTTCAGCAGCTCCTGTATTTAAGGCTGTATTTTCACATCCACATGTCACAAACCAAAATAACAATCTTTCCCACCACACAATTAAGGACTCCATGTACCCCAGGAGAGCCCACAGTAAGCTTTACGACAAGAAAAGAAAACTAGAGCCATAAAGAAGGACCAAATCCACATTTTCTTAGTATAAGATTTTTTTTTCATATATTACAAAATCAATTTCAATAATGAAGTAGAAAAATAGGAAATTATTTGGATACAAACACTTCCTCAAAAGGCATTAATTATCCAAACTACTACACAGGGGTGATCCAAACATTCAGTGAACGACTGAGACTGTCCCAATCAATATACTGAACGCAGGGGTTGAAGAAAATGGAAAAGGATGTTTTTACTAAAAGGTCTGTCTCAGGCTGGGGAAAGCCAGGTCTCAGTTAACATTCTGGAATCCAGCTTCACTTGTGTCAGTATCATGTTCCTTAGGTAAGGGAAGAGGAGAAAGGAGAAAAAAAGAATTTTAACATTAGGGTAAAAATGTGAGATTTTTGTCTTAACTGGACTATTTGAGAAACAGGAAATACTTGGCAGTAGAACAGCTGATCTGCCAATATGTTGCAAACAGACTCTGAAGCATCAAATTTACTATATAAAGAGCTATTTCACCACAGTACTGCCTGTGAGTAACAGTGCTAGTTCCACATCTACACTGCGGCACGAGCAAGCAACGTGAGCGTGCACCAGGGCACGCGGCTGTTACACAATGCACCATTCATGGACGGTATTTAGCTGAAATTACCAAAACTACACGCGCATGTATTAATCCCCCAATTAAAATAAACCAGAGACTTAATAAATTGAGCACTTGACATTCTACACAGATTAACAGCCCTAAGTACTCCAGATCACGCCTCACTGGTCTAATTCATTAGACAACAAACGTCTTAACCCATCACTGTACCTCTTGCCTGCCACAAGCGTAGCTGCTACAAACATGCACCAGCCTCAGTGCTGATACTACCAACTATTCACTTGTAATTCTGTTATTCAAAATACCTGATTCAGTTTCTTAAACTCAACCACTTGGAAGAAGATGTACTCCAGGATATGTTTGGCATCCTGCTTTTCCTTTGGGAGTTTACTGGTTACTCCTAGGATATCGCCGCATTTTCGTACGTAGAACTCCAGGTCGTCATCAGTACCTAAACACACACCCCAGGGAAGAAGGCAGCTGAATATCACACCTATCCCTGCCAGCTGGGCAAAAACTTACTAGGAATCTCCATTTGTTGTTGGCATTCTGGGAGTTTCAGTCCTATAACTAAGTTCAGTGGACGAGCCACGATATATTCCTGCAGACAGTACTTTCTCATTTAGACTTAGGGTGTGTTTAGAATCGTCCTAACGTTTTAACTTCAAAGCATAAGAAGATGTGAAATAAATCAGCAAGACCGAGCAATGCAGTTTATGAATGATACAGGAGACAGCAGGCAGAAGTGTAATACAGTGTCATGTGACAAGCAAAATGTCATGGTGCATAAAGTCATGTTACAATTTCCAAGGCCTTCCAATTTCATGGCCCAGGATGAGTGCAGAGGATTTTCACAAATGAGGCCCTTGTTTTAAAATTAAATATAACAATTTTCCTCCAAAAACTTGTACTTTATATATAAATGTGTAACCAGTCTGCTCCACTTACATCTGTTTGTAATCTCCGCAAGACGAGCTTTCTCAGAGGAGAAAGTTTCATCCAAGTCAAAAAGCTCCAGAGGGGGAGGAGGCAATTCCCTGAAAGCAGGTGGAAAAACCTTGAAGAGAAGAATTAGCATGGTTTATTGCCAAATAGCTTATACTTCACAGATCTCTAAGACAACAATTAGACTGGACTTGAAGAAACCTTTTATAAAGTCACAAGCAAGTCCAAAGGCCACACTACAGAGATACATATTTTTTAAAATTCTGTTTATGTCTTGCAAAAATGTCTGAGTATTCCACGAGTTTAGTCACAAGTATGCCAGAATTATCACCTAGCTTCACAGCCAGACATACTGCATATGCAGTTTGGTTTGAGTTTTGCTCCACGAGATCCAGGTGATAGCTGAGGTACTAAGGTTACTATAGCAGTTCACCTTGGAATCACATTCACGTTACTTCTGGTAAGGCTTTTTTCTTTTTCAAGCAGTCACCACTTACGCCACAAGTTGGACTTGTGTTTTTAAAGAGCAGCACATGAGATGCTACTTCCAGTAGCTATAAGGATCCCAGTAATGTTTCCTCAGTGGCCAAGGTAAAGAAGGATGGAACCATGATGGCAAAACACAAAAGATCCTTTGAAAAGCAGGCATCTTTGAGGAAGTCTGACAATGCTGTAGCTTGTGTTGTTGCTGCCAGCCCAAATCTCTGCCAGTAAAATCTGGCCAGCCCCTGCTGTAAAACACCAACACTTCACTTTCTAATTCCCCATGAGAGATGGAAGGAGAGTGGGACAGACCGGCTCAACCCGTGGCAGCAGTCAGTGTGTTACAATACCAATTTTTCTGAAATCTCACATTCTGTTTTCACAGGGAAGGCTGACCCAGAACCCCACAGGACTGGGAGCAGGTACTCAGCTAAAGGCCGAGCTGCTATGGTACCAGATGCTACATTTCCAAGCTCTGTTGATAAAAATGAGAAGCGTAAATAAGTGCTCTTTCCTAAAAAATAGTCCCTGCAGTGTGTTCAACTCCCACGTGATTAATTATTACAACAGCATTTCTCAGTTTGGTTTTTTTTTGAAAGAACTATGGAAATGGCGCACACAGGTTTTACATGGAAGGGGATTCTCCATGCTCTGATCAGCGAGGAGATTACTCACAGCTGGCTGGAGGACAGGTAGGGGAGTTTCAAATTGAGGCTGAATGAGTTGGAGAGGTTCGTGCTTCACATTCAGCTGTTCATACGCTCTGCACCACAGAAAAAGATAAGTATGAGTGAAGAAATGATACCACAGCCATTTCCACTTGCATGAAATAAAGGCTATAGAGATGAATTTTTATGAAGACACTAGGGTCAACATTATGCACAGTCACAGCATTAAAAAAATGGGATGACTAATTTTAGAAGGGCCCTAAAGAACTACATATCAGTAGTAATTGACTTCTACATCAAGCAAATTAGTTAAAATTATGGTAGAGAAGAAGACAATGATAGGTTGATATATAAGAGGATAAAAAGGAAGGAAGCCACACCTCAACCTCAATCACAGCATGGTTTGGGTTGGAAGGGATCTTAAAAATCATCTAGTTCCAACCCCCCTGCCATGGGCAGGGACACCTTCCACTAGACCAGGTTGCTCCAAGCCTCATCCAGCCTGGCCTTGGACACTTCCAGGGATGGGGCATCCACAGCTTCTCTGGGCAACCTGTTCCAGTGCCTCACCACCCTCTCCGGGAAGAACTTCTTCCTGATACCTAATCTAAACCTCCCCGATTTCAATTTAAACCCGTTCCCCCTTGTCCTGTCACTACAGGCCCTTGTAAAACGTCCCCCCCAGCTTCCTTGTAGCCCCTTCAGGCACTGGAAGGGGCTATCAGGTCTCCCAGGAGCCTTCTCTTCTCCAGGCTGAACAAGCCCAACTCTCTCAGCCTGTCCCCATAGCAGAGGGGCTCCAGCCCTCTGAGCATCTGCGTGGCCTCCTCTGGACTCGCTCCAACTGGTCTATATCCTGCTGATGTTGTGGGTTCCACAGCTGGACGCAGCACTCCAGGTGGGGTCTCACCAAAGCAGAGGGGGAGAATCACCTTCAAGCAACTTCTAAATGTATGAACGTACATGAGGAAAACGTGAACCAGTTCAAAAAGAGCAGACTTGGGATTTCAAAAAGGTTTTTCAGGAAGTCCATAAGCAAAAGCTACGTTAAAAAGTTATTTGTTATCGGATGAGAAGGGAGATCCCCTGTGAATTCACATCCAGCTAAAATACAAGAAACAGAGTAAGAAGGAGTGTCCTCAACAGAGTGGAGTTCATGGCATCTGTGTTAAGCCTGCTGCTATTCAACATGTTCATACGTGATCCAGGCAACAGACGAGTTGTGAGGGACGAAGCTGCCAGCCATACAAAACTGGTAAAACTGAGTAGCAGATAGGTCTCTAGACATAATTATTGGGAAATGCAAAGATTAATGAAATGCAGCTTCAGTAAATGCCAAGTAATTCAAAAGTGGGAAATCAACCAGCTTTCAAATCACTCGAGAAAGTACCCAACCTTGCTGTAGGCAGTTCTACCAAAAGTAACAGTTCACCAAATCCACAGCAGTCAGAAAAAACAGAAAAAGCCATGTCAGAAGCTACAGGTAAGAGGAGAAGTAGGAGGAAAACATCACTGTCACACTGTACAAATCAATCTTCCGGTATACTCATATTCAGAATGCTGCCTACAGCTCAGGCCCTTCTGCTCTTAAGCAGACACAGTTAAGCACAAACAGAAAATGCAGCATACACAACAGATACGTAAATAAATAGATAGATAAATAGATAAATCACAACTACTGACTTGATAACTGAAGGGAGGGCAGTTGTATCCAGCTGGTAAAGGGATGTATCAAACAGCTTTGTGAAGTCTCTTGGGTTCTCATCTCCTTCTTGCAGACAGACTCGCAGTTGCTCAGACAGCGCGGCTGTGTCTGGGAGCATGGTATAGTCTGAAATCTGAACACAGATTATAAAGACTTTAAAAGAGCAACCCACTGACATAGTCTCTTTCTCGTTTATATGTCACCTAAAATCTCATCTAGAAATAATTATTTCACTTTTTACTAGGTATGACCATTTGCAGTGCAGCTTAGTAGATTAGCAGACTGTGCAAATTCCGTTCTCTTAACTTCAAAGCTACTCGCTACATGGACGTTGTAACTGCATTTCTGTTAATTCTTTAAAATTAGGAGACAGCTTACTAGTCAACCATGCAAGACTGTTGTTTTTTTAATGCACACAGAGTATACAATTTTATCACATGGATTTCCATAGCGTTTGCACAGAGCAGCTAAAAAACCCACTAAAATTGATACACAGGTGGATCCCTACTCACGTACAGAAAATCCACCTTCGCTTCATGCACTCTCCTCGTGTCTGAAGACTCAAAGTGCAAAATTATTAAGCTGAAGCAGCAAATGATCTCATAAACATGGGCAAATTGAGAAGAGACTTTCACAAATCAAGTATAATAATAATAATGAGCAGCAATCTAAGTCTGACAGAGATGTGATGCCATTACTTTTTATGCCTAGTCCGTCTGCTCACTCTCAGACCCTCAAACAGGGTCTGCAACAACAGCATCCATCTAGCTGTTAACCTCTCTGTGCTAAATGCCTGGTTTGCCAAAGGTGGATCACACTGTCAGCTACTTCCTTATCATGGATCTCTTACCTCAGGGTCCTCCATGTCCATCTGGTTTAAATGGATATCTGATGTTGTGAGCCACTGGAAAAGCACATCCTGGAGAAGGGCAAATCTCAATTAATTTCTGTAGCAGCCACGTATTCTATTATAATGCTTAAACATTCATATTAAATCTATTAAATAACATAGAGTGAAAAGAATATGTAATATCTGTGTAGTATCTGTGATGAAAACACAAGCTGTATTTGTATTTACATATGGAAATAACGAGTCATGGCAACGAGCACCCTTCGTATGAGGTGCATACTTAGAGGAACACCTCAGCCAGAAAGTCCCCTTCTTACACACAAGAATGTTACATACCCCACTTTGGAAAGCGCATTACAACCTCCAGGTATCAGGAGCTATTTATGCAAATGTTTTTTATTAATCAGGTAGTCATAATCAAGCGCTGAGGAAGCTATGAAAAAGTTGTAAACAAAAAAACTCGTACTGAATATTTAAATATTAATAACATTAAAGTGGTGAATAGAAATAGGAAAAGCTTTTCAGAGTCCTACAACATATATAATAAACTCCTTCCTGTTACATGTGCTCTAACAAATTCCTCAGATGTTAGTACTGGGTTAGAATCTCCCTAATGAATCCGTTCCAGAGCTGTCTTGCTCTAAAATGAAGCTAGTGAGCTTGGATCGCTTTGTAAATGCTGCAGATATCCACCAAGAAAACTTACTGTAAAAAACTAAACTAACCACTTACCATGACCTTCCCGTTTTCTTCTTTATCTAAATATTGATCACTGAACATGTGGGAAGATCCCAGTGCTGCCATTTTTCCACCTTGATTCTATCAACAAAGAATACAATGTAGCAAAATAGGCTTCCAAAGCACAGTTTGAAAGGCAACTGTTAATGCTGCCTAATTACAAAGAGATGTAAAGAAATAGGAAGTTTTGGAATAAGTAGTGGCAAAAGCAGTTTCAAACTGGCACGCTCACAAGAGCGCAGCATTATTATAAGGGTGTAAGCTCTTAAGGCTCATTAAATTTATTAGACTATATCTTAAGACTCATTAAATTTATTAAAAGTACTGATCTGCATTTTGTAGTTGGTTGGCAATAAAAAAACCCAACAGAATATCATCAAGATTAGCGGCACGTAGGGTATTTTTGCAGAAAAAGAATTTTAGTTGATTGAACAAAAGAGTAAAGAATTAAGTAAAATGAATGCATTATTAACTTCCTGCAAGCTGTTCTTCAGCGTTCAGGATGTAACCTGGAGGCCAGTGACATGCATGCGTGTCCATATAGCAAATGCTCATGTCAGCTAATGAGAGGAGTCGGGTAATTTTATTATTTGTAAGATAAAATGCAAAATATGCAGGTCATTATATTCTGATTTAGCTAAATTAACCATGCATGAAAATGCACTCAGGAAACATCTTTGGAATTCTCTCAGATTACCCCTTAATCGTTCCAGAAGGACATACATAAGACGCAGTCAGTTTTCAACAGAACAAGAAACCCTGTCATGCTCCCTGCACCAACGGTGAGACTCACAGCGTAACAGGTTATGTTGGCATCCCCACCAAAGGTTTGCAGAGGCATCAAAAAACAGGTGTGGGTTTGTAACTACTCCCAGAAATTACACTCATGATTTTTGCATGGGGCCGAGGAGAACCCACAGTTTGGTACCCGCAGAATCATACCTCATGCTGATAGAAAGCAAGAATAGGCCTGTTGAGCGGGAAGCAGACAGATCCTGTTGACAGAACAGCCACTGCTGGTTTCATCACATTCAGTGTGGCACCAAACGGATACACGAAAGCGAGCGCTCTGCAGGGAATGCAGAAACTCCCTAAGTAGCTGCATGGATCACGCAGGCCGGACATACTTGTAAAACTCAGCCTGTCTGCCCAAACTGTAATTTGTGCACTAGTGGTGGAATGCCAAGAGGCATGCTTTTGAAAATTCAGATCGTTACAATGACATTTTAGTCTCTTTTCTACAGGTTTTTCCAGGTTGACAAGTTGTCTTAAGTAAGTAACAAAGAACACTCTTGATTTCTGTTTGCACACTCCTGTACCTGAGAGAAGGGTAGTGGTATTTAACTCACAGATGAACACATATTCTGTAACAAAACTACAGGAAACATTTCTCCTTGTAATCAAACCCACTGTCTAAAAATTAGCTGGAAGGAAGAATACAAAACTCTATAGTTATTTACAGAAAAGCTGTATTCTTCCCAATACCTTTTCACTCCTCTGCAGCTCAGAGGAACAGAAAGCTAAAGATTAAAATAAATGCCTATCTCACCCTGGATCAAGACTCTTTAAAAAGAGGCAGGGTTCCTCATGCCTGCAGCCAAACACCCCCCTGTCTACAGGTTATTCACAGAGTGGAAAGGGTTGGAAGGGACTTCGAGATCATCTAGTCCAACCCCCCTGCCAGAGCAGGATCCCCCAGAGCAGATCACACAGGAACAAGTCCAGGCGGCTTTGGAAAGTCTCCGGGGAAGGAGACTCCACCACCTCTCTGGGCAGCCTGTTCAGGGCTCTGTCACCCTCACAGTGAAGAAGGGTTTCCTCATGGTCAGGTTGAACCTTCTGTTTTCCACTTTATGGTCATTGCCCCTCATCCTGTCACTGGACACCACTGAGAAGAGCCTGGCCCCATCTCCTGACACCCCCCCTTTAGATATGGATAAGCACTGATAAGATCCCCACTCAGCCTCCTCTTCTCCAAGCTGAAGAGACCCAGCTCTCTCAGCCTTTCCTCATGGGGAAGGTGCTCCAGGCCCTTTGTCCTCATAGTGGCCCTTTGCGGAACCCTCCGCAGTAGTTCCTTTTCCTTCCCAAACTGGGGAGCCCAGAACTGGACACAGCACTCCAAGTGAGGCCTCACCAGCGCAGAGTAGAGGGGGAGGATAACTTCCCTCGACCTGCTGGCCACGCTCTTCTTATGCACCCCAGGATGTCCATATGTAGGCTGCCTAATCCAATTCAAATCCACAGACTATGGGCAAAAAAAGATCTGGTCAGGAGAGTAATAATTTCTTTCAAAATTTATAATTCCTGCTCCTTCATTGGTTATCAAACATTACTAAACAGCATCTCCTTTCCAGATATAACCTTGAGGAGAAGCTGACCATAGAAATGCACTAGAAAACCTCAGCACAAGCACAACCCACTCCCACTAGATTATAAACCTGCTAGTTCAGAGTTGGTAGGAATCTTTTCACATCAACTACCTCAAAGGAAAACACTCACTGTGAGTCATGTCCACTTCCATCTTCATCTGTTGTCTCAAGCATTGTTTTTCTTGCAGCTTCACTGATTCCTCTACAAGATGTTGAAAAGCAAAATTTAGTGAAAATACCATGGATGATAAGAGTTTACTGTAAAGATTTATATACCCCACATATTTACCGATTCAAAACGCCATCAGAGATTAGTGCTTCTTTTGGGTGGTGGTACTTGTAATAGACATTTCGCACCACAGCATCTTGAAGAAAGAAAGTAAATAAGAAATGTCCATCTTAGCTCATCAGTGTGCTAATTACAGCAATGAAAAATGAGTTTAGCTCTTGGGTTCCCTGG